ACACACACACACACACACACACACACACACACACACACACACACACACCCTCACACACCCCTCACACACACACACACACACACACCCCTCACACACACACACACACGCACCCATAGAACATTTTAATAATAGGCTTAAGTTGCATCTAATAGGGCCGGTTGACATTCCCGTTGGGTTAGGAAGCAAAAATAGCCGGGGGGGGACTCTGGTTCGTAAAGTGGTTCTTGTGGTTCTGTCAGGCGATACAGCCGGTTTTACTGAGGGAACTTGGGTTTCGAACCGGTTTCAGAGGGGAAAATTGGGTCTGGAACCGGTTTTAGTGATGTTACTGGGATATGGAATGGGTATTGGGGTACGAACCGAGTGAGATGAAACACATCAACGCCCACAGATACGGATGTTACTTCCGGCTTGAGAAGAAGTGAACCGGATGTCGGGGTAGGAGTAGAACCGGTTGGCGGATGGAATGGATAGATAGATTGATAGGTGTAATTAAACCGTTTAATGCAGTAGAAAATAGCCAGCGTCTATTAGTACTGTCAAGGAAACCCAACTAGAAATAGACAACGTGTTTGGGTGTTATAGAACAGATGTTGTTTATTTACATAGATCAGCTGATACCTTCCCTCCTCCCTCCCTCCCTCCCTCCCTCCCTCCTCCTCTTGGATCAGCTGTTAAGTGTAAATATACGTAGGTGAGTAAAGGAATTAGTTATGTGTTTTTTATATATTAGTTGATTCTTAGTATATAACCTCCTCCTGCTCCTCCTTGGCTCAGGTGTTAGTGTAGACCAGCTGTTGTTTCTCTCTCATTCACCTGATACTCTATAGTGTTGATCAGGTTGTATGTTCAAACAAACCAGTTGGTGCCATTGTAAACACCAATGTTTTTTTCTGTGTACGTCTTCTGTTTTACTGCACGGATCACTTGATGTTTATTGTGTACAGATCAACTGATGCGTGGGGGGTATTTCCTGGAACAGCTGATACATGTAAACAAAACAAGTTACACCCAGGCTGTAACCCTCCTCCCCGGCCACACAGGCGCTACACCCAGGCTGTGTAACCTCCCTCCCTGGCCACACTTGGGTTTATGATTTTATTTATAATTGTTTGGAAGTGTTTGTTAAATATTGTTTTTTATGAGCGACACCCAGCAGGCGGGGCGGGGCGGGGCTGGCGGGGGCTGAGGGTGCCAGGAGACACACCTGCCACGCCGCCCACTGGTTTTTACCATCCTATTACCGACGCTCATTTGGCTCACTCTGTTTTCTTTGTAATTTGGAAAACTTAACCTAACCTGACCTGACCTGACCTAACCTGGCAGTTTCCGCCTCTCCTGTAACTGACTGAAAGATCCTTCAGAATGAGGCTTCATCTGTATGTATGGGTGACTATGGGACTATGCATGTGAGATAGGTATGTGTGACCGTGTGTGTGTGTATGTATGTATGAATGAGACCGTGTGTGTGTGTATGTATGAATGAGACCGTGTGTGTGTATATGTATGGATGAGACCGTGTGTATGTATGTATGTATGTATGAATGAGACCGTGTGTGTGTTGTATGTATATGAATGAGACCGTGTGTGTGTATGTATGTATGGATGAGACCGTGTGTGTGTGTATGTATGAATGGACCGTGTGTGTGTATGTATGTGAATGAGACCGTGTGTGTGTATGTATGTATGAATGAGACCGTGTGTGTGTATGTATGTATGGATGAGACCGTGTGTGTGTATGTATGTATGATGACCGTGTGTATGTATGGATGAGACCGTGTGTGTGTGTGTATGTATGAATGAGACCGTGTGTATGTTGTATGTATGAATGAGACCGTGTGTGTGTATGTGTGTGAATGGGGACCGTGTGTGTGTGTGAATGAATGAGACCGTGTGTGTATGTATGTGTGAATGAGACCGTGTGTGTGTATGTATGTGTGAATGAGACCGTGTGTGTGTGTGTATGTATGAATGAATGAGACCGTGTGTGTATGTATGTGTGAATGAGACCGTGTGTGTGTATATATGTGTGAATGAGACCGTGTGTGTGTGTATGTGTGTGAATGAGACCGTGTGTGTGTGAAGGGACTGCCATCAAGACACTCTGGCTAACAACAATATAAGATGCACTATAACTGTCAACAACAGAGGATGGTGGTGATGGTGAGAGACGATATCGTGAGAACAGTGGAATTAAAGAGAATGGTGATGGTGAGAGGAGATGGTGGTGATGGTGAGAGGAGATGTGGTGATGGTGAGGAGGAGAGGTGGTGACGGTGAGAGGAGAGGAATTGTGGTGAGAGGAGGAGATGGTGGTGATGGTGAGAGGGTGGGTGGTGGTGGAGAGAGATGGTGATAATGATAGTGTAAGAGAAGATGGAAAACCTTTAGCGTTTGGTTACAAAAATACTAAGTGAATTTTATGTAATTATCTCATTGTAATTTATCCCATTGAGACTTGAGTTACGTGTGGAGGGTGGGGTACAGGTGAGAGAGAAGTGTGGGTGAGAGAGGAGAGTACAGGTGAGAGGTACAGGTGAGAGAGAGAGGGTGAGAGGAGGAGAGAGAGAGAGGGGTTACAGGTGAGAGAGAGTGAGAGAGAGAGAGGGGGTACAGGTGAGAGAGAGAGAGAGAGAGAGGGGGGTGGGTGAGAGAGAGGGGGTACAGGTGAGAGAGGTGCAGGTGAGAGAGGTACAGGTGGGAGAGAGGTACAGGTGAGAGAGAGGTGGGTGAGAGAGGTACAGGTGAGAGGAGGGGAGGGGGTGGGTGAGAGGGGGTGCAGGTGAGAGAGAGAGAGTGAGAGGGAGAGTTGGGTGAGAGAGGTACAGGTGTGGAGAGAGGGGGGGTACAGGAGAGGTACCATAATTATAAGTTCTGGGCAAGGTTAGGTTGAGTAGCTGAGGTTGGCAATGCTGCAAGGGGTGTGTGTGTCTTGGAGGTTTATCTTGGCAACACTGCTGGAGGCGTGCCATGTAGACAATGTCCTTTATTTTGTTCTCTCTCTCTCTCTCTCTCTCTCTCTCTCTCTCTCTCTCTGTTTAGTGTCTCATTTATGTAGTTTTTCCCCACTTGATCATTTCCATATATTTGTGTATGCACACACACACACACGGAACTCTTGTAGTGTTGACTGCCTTATAAACGTTTCTTGTTGTTAGGTAGACCTGTATACAGTGTTTACCTATACCTGTCACCCTCTTTACCTCACACCTGCTGGATACTTTCTCTCCTTGTTTGTATTATAAATCAACACAAATTTCCTGAAAAATAATTCTTGACTCAAAGGTGTTTTGTTTATTGTGTTGTAAAATATTCCCAGCAACACGGCGAGACTTGTGGCCTTAATTAAGTACATGTTTTAACTTGGTCTGTAGCTGTGTCATAGAACAGTCTCTCTCTCTCTCTCTCTCTCTCTCTCTCTCTCTCTCTCTCTCTCTCTCTCTGATCAGCGAGGCTGTTGTGTTCATCATATTGGTTTTAGACTTGACAAGGTGTGTTGAGAATGTTGGGTGGTCAGCCAAGTGTCGAGTGTGGCACATTCCCCTCTGGCCACACTACCATGATCCTAATGCACCTTAGGGATTACACCATGGTCCTAACACATCCCCATGTTCCTAGCACCCTGCTACCATGGCCCTAACACTTCTCCATGGTCCTAGCACCCTGCTACCATGGCCCTAACACTTCTCCATGGTCCTAGCACCCTGCTACCATGGCCCTAACACTTCTCCATGGTCCTAGCACCCTGCTACCATGGCCCTAACACTTCTCCATGGTCCTAGCACCCTGCTACCATGGCCCTAACACATCTCCATGGCCCTAACACATCCCCATGGTCCTAGCACCCTTAAGAGAACCAAATACTTGTAAATAACAGAGGTGATTGGTGGTGAGAGAGAGAGAGAGAGACGTGTTTATTATTGTGTGGCAACATCAGTAGTTTTGTCTTACGTGGCATCAATTGTAATTTAATGTCGTGAATATTGTGGCGGGGATTATGATACAACGCCTTAATTAAGGTTACACACAGCGTCCAGCACAAATAATGTCTAGTTTGCTCACAAGAAGAAATTATTTGTTGGTGGAGATTATAGCCACACTCTTTGATAAATGAGAGGTGCGCCGTGATTGGTGGAGAGACCTAGCCGGCCAACCAATGGACGCCGGAAACAGCTGAGCGAAAACATGTGAGATAGATCATAAAGTTTCTCTCGTGGTTCATATATCAGGTTGAGATAATCCTCTACTGGGCGCTTGTGTCTCAGGCCATGAAATGTGGTTCAAGAGAGAGAGAGAGAGCGAGAGAGAGAGAGAGAGAGAGAGAGAGAGAGAGAGAGAGAGAGAGAGAGATAGTAAAATAGAGAAAGCGAGAGAAAGATAGTAAAGTAGTAAAACAGAGAGAGAAAAGATAGTAAAATTTAAGAGACAAACGCTGTAAAATATAATGGCTCTAATTTTAATGTCATTTTAAAGATCATCTCATTGTTTTTTATGTGTTAATAGAATTAGTTAATTCACTCGGGGTGAAGGGACTGTTATACCACCACCCGCACCTCCCTACCAAATTTCAGACCCAACCCAACAATCATCTGGACGACAATTGTTAGGGAAGTTTTCCTCGTGTTAAAACTTGCTGCACTCTGTGTGTGTGTGAGTGTGTGTGTGTGTGTCTTTTAATCAAAAGTTTGTCTAATCAGCTGATAGGTTTCAGACGGACTTTCACTAACCTTAGTGATACACACGCACACACACACACACACGCACACACACACACACACACACACTCTTTCATTATCATTACGTTATATTGTTGTTTATTCTCATGTTCTGTTGTTATAATATTCAAATATATAGATATGTTTCTGAACTAAAGTCATCATCATCATGAGGTCATCATCATCATCATCATGAGGTCATCATCATCATGAGGTCATCATCATCATCATGAGGTCATCATCATCATGAGGTCATCACTTAAGTAAGGGTGTTATCTCTTGCAGGGTTCAGCTATGAGGATGAACAGGCAGACCCCACCGCCTTCCTGGAGGCTATCGACCAGCTCGCCCTCGCCTTCTCCAGCAGGTAGGTCTTGGTGTTATACATACTAGTTACAGTAAACACAGTCTTTGGGGTCTACATACTAGTTACAGTAAACAGTCTTTGGGGTCTACATACTAGTTACAGTAAACACAGTCTTTGGGGTCTACATACTAGTTACAGTAAACACAGTCTTTGGGGTCTACATACTAGTTACAGTAAACACAGTCTTTGGGGTCTACACACTAGTTACAGTAAACACAGTCTTTGGGGTCTACATACTAGTTACAGTAAACACAGTCTTTGGGGTCTACATACTAGTTACAGTAAACACAGTCTTTGGGGTCTACATACTAGTTACAGTAAACACAGTCTTTGGGGTCTACATACTAGTTACAGTAAACACAGTCTTTGGGGTCTACATACTAGTTACAGTAAACACAGTCTTTGGGGTCTACACACTAGTTACAGTAAACACAGTCTTTGGGGTCTACATACTAGTTACAGTAAACACAGTCTTTGGGGTCTACACACTAGTTACAGTAAACACAGTCTTTGGGGTCTACATACTAGTTACAGTAAACACAGTCTTTGGGGTTTACATACTAGTTACAGTAAACACAGTCTTTGGGGTCTACATACTAGTTACAGTAAACACAGTCTTTGGGGTCTACATACTAGTTACAGTAAACACAGTCTTTTGGGGTCTACATACTAGTTACAGTAAAATGGACAGTCTTTGGGGTTCACATACTAGTTACAGTAAACACAGTCTTTGGGGGTCTACATACTAGTTACAGTAAACACAGTCTTTGGGGTCTACACACTAGTTACAGTAAACACAGTCTTTGGGATCTACATACTAGTTACAGTAAACACAGTCTTTGGGGTCTACATACTAGTTACAGTAAACACAGTCTTTGGGGTCTACATACTAGTTACAGTAAACACAGTCTTGGGGGGTCTGCTATACTAGTTACAGTAAAACACAGTCTTTGGGGTCTACATACTAAAGTTACAGTAAACACAGCTCCTTTGGGGGTCTACATACTAGTTACAGTAAACACAGTTCAGGGGGTTCACACCAGTTACAGTAAACACAGTCTTTGGGGTCTACATACTAGTTACAGTAAACACAGTCTTTGGGGTCTACATACTAGTTACAGTAAACACAGTCTTTGGGGTCTACACACTAGTTACAGTAAACACAGTCTTTGGGGTCTACATACTAGTTACAGTAAACACAGTCTTTGGGGTCTACATACTAGTTACAGTAAACACAGTCTTTGGGGTCTACATACTAGTTACAGTAAACACAGTCTTTGGGGTCTACATACTAGTTACAGTAAACACAGTCTTTGGGGTCTACATACTAGTTACAGTAAACACAGTCTTTGGGGTCTACATACTAGTTACAGTAAACACAGTCTTTGGGGTCTACATACTAGTTACAGTAAACACAGTCTTTGGGGTCTACATACTAGTTACAGTAAACACAGTCTTTGGGGTCTATACTATTATAAACAGTCTTTGGGTCTCATACTAGTTACAGTAAACACAGTCTTTGGGGTCTACATACTAGTTACAGTAAACACAGTCTTTGGGGTCTACATACTAGTTACAGTAAACACAGTCTTTGGGGTCTACATACTAGTTACAGTAAACACAGTCTTTGGGGTCTACATACTAGTTACAGTAAACACAGTCTTTGGGGTCTACATACTAGTTACAGTAAACACAGTCTTTGGGGGTCTACATACTAGTTACAGTAAACACAGTCTCTGGGGTCTACATACTAGTTACAGTAAACACAGTCTTTTGGGTCTACATACTAGTTACAGTAAACAGTCTTTGGGGTCTACATACTAGTTACAGTAAACACAGTCTTTGGGGTCTACATACTAGTTACAGTAAACACAGTCTTTGGGGTCTATACTAGTTACAGTAAACACAGTCTTTGGGGTCTACACACTAGTTACAGTAAACACAGTCTTTGGGGTCACATAGTTATTAAAGTCTTTGGGGTCTACATACTAGTTACAGTAACACAGTTTGGGGTCATTTTGCGTTGGGGTCTACATACTAGTTACAGTAAACACAGTCTTTGGGGTCTACATACTAGTTACAGTAAACACAGTCTTTGGGGTCTACATACTAGTTACAGTAAACACAGTCTTTGGGGTCTACATACTAGTTACAGTAAACAGTCTTGGGGTCTACATACTAGTTACAGTAAACACAGTCTTTGGGGTCTACATACTAGTTACAGTAAACACAGTCTTTGGGGGTCTACATACTAGTTACAGTAAACACAGTCTTTGGGGTCTACATACTAGTTACAGTAAACACAGTCTTTGGGGTCTACATACTAGTTACAGTAAACACAGTCTTTGGGTCCTTATAGTTACAGTAAATCTTTGGGTCACATTAGTTACAGTAAACACAGTCTTTGGGGTCTACATACTAGTTACAGTAAACACAGTCTTTGGGGTCTACATACTAGTTACAGTAAACACAGTCTTTGGGGTCTACATACTAGTTCAGTAAACACAGTCTTTGGGGTCTACATACTAGTTACAGTAAACACAGTCTTTGGGGGTCTACATACTAGTTACAGTAAACACAGTCTTTGGGTATATGAAGGGTCTACATACTAGTTACAGTAAACACAGTCTTTGGGGTCTACATACTAGTTACAATAAACACAGTCTTTGGGGTCTACATACTAGTTACAGTAAACACAGTCTTTGGGGTCTACATACTAGTTACAGTAAACACAGTCTTTGGGGTCTACATACTAGTTACAGTAAACACAGTCTTTGGGGTCTACATACTAGTTACAGTAAACACAGTCTTTGGGGTCTACATACTAGTTACAGTAAACACAGTCTTTGGGGTCTACATACTAGTTACAGTAAACACAGTCTCTGGGGTCTACATACTAGTTACAGTAAACAGTCTTTGGGGTCTACATACTAGTTACAGTAAACACAGTCTCTGGGGTCTACATACTAGTTACAGTAAACACAGTCTTTGGGGTCTACATACTAGTTACAGTAAACACAGTCTTTGGGGTCTACATACTAGTTACAGTAAACACAGTCTTTGGGGTGAAATAAGACGTCACTCACTATAAAGACCCTGTCATTATGGTCGCTCAACACAAAGTTAAACGAAGCCTCGGTAAGACCCCCCAAGGTATACCCTCGCCGCCTTCGTCGGGAGTGTGGCGGCCCAGGGCTTAAGACAGTTCCTGCGGTGTGAAATTCTTATATCTTTCCTGATCAAAGTTTTGTTGACACTGGTGAAGGAGGGAGGGAGGTGGAGGTTTGGAGGTGGGGAGCGCTTGGGGAGCCATTGGGGGGGGGGTGCTTATGGAGGCTTGGGGGAGGGAGGGAGGTGGGGGAGACGCCTTATATGGAGGAGCCATTGGGGGGGGGGGAGGTGGGGGGAGTTATGGAGGGAGCCATTGGGGGAGGGAGGTGGGGAGACGCCTTATATGGAGGGAGCCATTGGGGAGAGATACACGAGGGTGATATAACACCAGACCCTCCCCCTGGTCCCCACCATGACCTTCCCCCTGGTCCCCCCTGCCCCTCCCCCTGGTCCCCACCATACCCTCCCCTGTCCCCCTGCCTCCCTGGTCCCCCTCCTGGTCCCCACCCTCCCCTGGTCCCCACCATGACCTCCCTGGTCCCCCCCCTGGTCCCCTGCTCTGGTCCCACCTCCCCTGGTCCCCACCATGACCTCCCCCTGGTCCCCACCATGACCTCCCTGGTCCCCCCAGCCCTCCCCTGGTCCCCACCATGACCTTCCCCCCCTGGTCCCCACCATGACCTTCCCCCTGGTCCCCACCATGCCCTCCCCTGGTCCCCACCATGACCTCCCCTGGTCCCCACCATGACCTTCCCCTGGTCCCCACCGACCCTCCCCTGGTCCCCACCATGACCTTCTGGTCCCCCATGACCCCCTGGTCCCCACCGCCTCCCCTGGTCCCACCATGACCTCCCCCTGGTCCCCACCATGACCTTGGTCCCCCACCCTCCCTGGTCCCCCATCCTCCCCCCTGGTCCCCACCGCCTCCCTGGTCCCCTCAGCCCTCCCCCTGGTCCCCACCATGACCTCCCCTGGTCCCCACCACCTCCCCTGGTCCCCCAGCCCTCCCCTGGTCCCCACCGACCCTCCCCTGGTCCCACCATATTAAATATTATCTGGGTTTTGGGTCGTTTGTGAGGGAAACGTCATAAGAGAAAAGTGTCTTAGAATTGTCTGAACTATTGTTTGTAAAGAACTAAAATCCCGAGGTTTAGTTGGTGGCAATAATGGTTTCTTGTAGCTCCCGACATCTGGGTTATGGGTAAAATACGTTCAAGTGTCGGTTGAAAATAGTCCTGTCTATAAGTTGACCGGAAGAGTTCCGTCGGCCTATACCGGTTGGCCACACCTGTCTACTACAGCAACAGCCTTTGACATTAGCGAAGGTTTTACACGGCTTGTGGTAACTTTTGATAACTTTCATTAGCTGGAGCTTCGTTATTCATCAGGTGAAATAAGCTGGGTGCCTAAGCTTCAGGTGAAATAAGCTGGGTGCCCGAGCTTCAGGTGAAATAAGCTGGGTGCCTAATCTTCAGGTTAGAACGCCTGCAACTGTCTAGCTCACACTATAGACGGGCTAGGGACGACACTAGAAGTTATAACCATACCTGCAGCAGGCGGACGCTCGCCTCACAAGGGGTCACAGCTCAATGTTGAAGAAGCCGCAAGTCCAGAGAACTGTGAGGGCAAATTTTTGGGAGCGAGAGTTGTGAACTCTTGGAACACTTACCAGAAAGTGTTGTGACGGCAAAGAGTGTGAGCTCTTTCAAGACCAGACTTGACCAACACTGGAGCAGGTTCAGGTACATTCAGTCAGCCCTGTAAAACACACACACACACACACACACACCATTGTTACCATGTGTGTGTGGCCGCCTCCGTCAAGCACTGTCGCATACGATTGATCACCCGTCAGGAACGACTCAGGCAACGCACCAACCATTGTCTCG